GCCTGAATCATTCGTGTGAGAGATGGCATCCTCGTGAGACTAACAAAATATTATTACACAGCAAATGGCTTTCTTTTGATGGTGTTCCAAAATGTTTCCAGCCCTTCGTCCGGTGTAATAACAACTGTGATCAGGTGGTTTTTACTGTTCCCTATCCCAATCGGAGATGATCTTTATGTATGTGGAAAATAAGGAGGTGGGAGAAAGTACTGGGGGAGTTCCTGGTCTCAGGTCTCTACACTGGTTTCCTGAGAATAGACTTTAAAGGAGCAGTATGTACAAATCTGGTCAAAAGTGGTACTGTAATTTCTCCCATTCTACCTGACTCAGGTTGCCAGATATGCAGACGAATCCAGCTGGGACCATAATATCTGAATAGACGAGAATTTTGTCTAAAACAAATAATACACCTTTTTCACCATAACAGCTACAGTATGTGTTACTCTATCAGTGAGATTAGCTTGACGCGGTGAGTTCTGGCAACATGGATCACAGACCTTCTGATTGGTAAAATGGTGGAGGGCGGGACATCGAACTGAAAACAATAACAAGATTTAAGGTCTGTAAAACTAATTTTAAAATTCAAATATCTTGGCTAAACTACTGAAGTATTCAAAAAAAGTATTCGAAAGAAGTATTCAAAAAAAGTATTCGAAAAAAGCATGGTTAATATGCCTTTTGACATATTAGGGCCATTTAATGATGACTTGTCATGAAAATTGTACATATTGCTACTTTAAAACAGCTCTGTGTACTGGTCTCTCCATGGCTTCATACCAAAGTCCCTCTGTGACATGTTAGTGCCATTGAAACCAACCAGGACTCTGTGGAGCACAGGGACTGGTCAGGGACCCAGAGTCAGCACTAAACTGGGCAGCATCTCAGATTCATGCAGCTAAAAAATCTTCCTAAATATGTAAGTAAGTAAGTAAGTAATGTGTATTTATAATTACATTTACAAGGCTCAGACTTCAGATATTTTTCCATTCACTCCATACACGGTTGTTGACGGAAGCGAAATGCTCAAATCATCAAAACCCCCAATCTATTCACTCACTTGTAACATTAATATCTATTGTACATGTTTTTTGTGGTAGCGGAAACCGGAGCATTCCATGCCTCCCTACGCAGCCATGGGGAGAATATGCAAACTCCACACAGAAAGACCTGGAGGTTAAAATCACACCCAGGACCTTCTTTCTGTGAAAAACTCTCCTTAGCTAAGCATAGAACAATACAATTTATGTTTATTAAGACTTAGTTATTGTCTCCTGGCTTGAAACTTATAAACTCCCGCTTTAACATCCCGATGGACGTTCTGTAGCTGCAGATTTCGGTCGTTGCTATCATGACAGAAAACATAACACGTGTTTGGTCGAGTTCAATAGCTTTCTATCAAAACCACAGCGGAGCCAAGAGCACTCTCTCCTCATGCACCCGTCCGCACCCGCCGTATCTGAATCATCCATTTTAAAGCTATTTTTCCTCACACTTAATCTTTTCCTTAAGTAAACACACCCCCCCATTTGTAAACCTACATTTGCCTGAACATTTGGAAGCCGGAGCTGTTTTTCCTGCAGCTGTGCGAGTCCTGGCCGCATTCACCCACCAGCGCTGAAACTCAAGCCCCTGAAAGAGCTGTCGCCACATCTCCAAAGAGCCGCGTTATTGAGTGCTTTTTTAACGTGCTCGCAGTTTCCAGCGCTGCACTTGGCTTGGAGGCCGAGCCCGTGCCAGCAGTTTCAGGGAGTGAACGAAAAAAAAAGTTAGATCTCAAGTTAAATTTAAAGATGTGTTTCTTTTGGACAGCTGAACTGAGCCGCCATAAACCAAAGGGAGACATTTTCATGCTCTGAATTTTTCATGGTTTTTCTCGGAGTTTCCTCCCTCCTCAGTTCCTCCAGAGTCCCCCACTGCTGCAGTACATGCTCGACCCGCAGTTGAAAGGCCTCGGCTGGGGTGGGCTCCAGGCCGGGACCCTCATCTCCACCTTCACGCCCGGGTGACCTCGAAAGGCATTTTCTTTTGACGATTTTGTCGGTGAAATTTACAGTTCTATACTGAGGGTTTGTTTTGACATGAGTCAAACTCTAATCTACTCTACTCTACTCTATACTCTACTCTATTTTACTCTACTCTACACTACTCTGCTCTACTCTACTCTACTCTACACTACTCTGCTCTACTCTACTCTGCTCTACACTACTCTGCTCTACTCTACTCTGCTCTACTCTACTCTACTCTACACTACTCTGCTCTACTCTACTCTACACTACTCTGCTCTACACTACTCTGCTCTACTCTACTCTACTCTACACTACTCTGCTCTACTCTACTCTGCTCTACTCTACTCTACACTACGCTGCTCTACTCTACTCTACACTACTCTGCTCTACTCTACACTACTCTGCTCTACACTACTCTGCTCTACTCTACTCTACTCTACACTACTCTGCTCTACTCTACTCTACACTACTCTGCTCTACTCTACTCTACAATACTCTGCTCTACTCTACTCTACACTACTCTGCTCTACTCTACTCTACACTACTCTACTCTACACTACTCTGCTCTACTCTACTCTGCTCTACTCTACTCTACACTACTGTGCTCTACTCTACTCTACTCTACTCTACCCTACTCTACCCTACTCTACTCTACTCTACTCTACTCGACCCTACTCTCCTTCACTCTACTCTACACTACTCTACTCTCCTTTACTCTTCTCTACTCTCTCCTCAGATTGGGAGTGTTTCCATCTGCCCTGTTTAACAGGTACTACGTCCTTATTTAGTCCCTCTTGGCCCTGGTTCAATCCAGGCCGAGCTGGTACTAAAGTGTTCTAACCGACAGTGTTGGTCAGAGTGCTGCTGGAAGCCATGGTTATCAAGGAATTTCCCAAGAAACTGTTTTTTTGGGGCAAGTTGCTTGGAGAAAGTACCTTATACTACAGTCTAATGGAAACACGACCAGGTAGAGTAGAGTAGAGTAGAGTAGAGTAGAGTAGAGTAGAGTAGTAGAGTAGGACCAACCCTCGTCTTGTCTCATTAAAGGCTTTCCCATCACTAAACCAAGGATTTCTAAACCAGGGCTAAATCAGTGATTGAGATCAAATCAATGTTATGTTCTACTTTGGGAGGACTGTGGGCCAGATCAGATTGTTTAAATAGGACTGTAATTAGACTAAAACATGTTTGTGTTTGTTTCAGTTGCATTGTTTCGAGCAGTAGACTGGAGTGGCTAATAATTTGGCTATTTTTTTCAAAAAACCTGAAAAAGTGGTGGCAAAAATGTTTACCATTATTTAGGTATGACCCAATACTGCCACAGCTTACCCCCAGTATGAGTTATTTCCTTTTGCCAGTGTTTATGTACTTCTTAAATAGTAAAGGGTGATCCTAATGAGCCGCTAATAACTAGACGAGCAGTATTTTACATTTATTACAGGCATTCAAGAGTGATGTCGTAATTTGCCAGTCGTAAAGTTCCTGTGTCGACTCTTCTTTTGATCTCGACACCAGATTACGTCTATTTAATTTGTCTTTCAACGCTTTTCGCCCATAATGTTTCCCCCCACACGGCTCTTCACTGGTTTAAGTGTAATCCTCTCTAAGCAGCAGTCTTCGGACCGACCGCCCTGGTTTTAATGTGGCCATGAACGAGCCCTTTTATTACCCTGGTGCAGACTGGTGTCCCGGGCCAGCGCTCTGTGGCACAGGCTGTAATTTGTGAAGGTTTGGTATTAATTAGCCTTGCTACCTCCGACTTTCTTTCCATTGAGAGAAATCCCACTGAGATGCAAACACAAAAGACAGGATGTTAAAACACACTTTCATTTCACATAACTTGTCATCAGCAGCAAATTTTCACTTGGCTTTTTTAAAACTGGAGCCGGCTGCCTGTGGCTTTCCACGCTCGCAGTTTGTGAGGGCCCAAACGGAGGATTGGGTTGACGTTATGTGCGTGCAAATGAGAGAGTAGCCCGTGTTGTAAAACCTCAGGCTGCCTTTAAGGAGGCTAAAATTATTATTCTGCTGGAGATGATGAGGATATCATGTTATGAGGATAAATGTCAGGGTTTAAGTGCATGTTTCAAAGAGGAAATACTTCAAATGAGGTTATAGTTGAAACACAGTGTAAACAAATGTAGTTATATCCTCCCAGTTTGGAGGAGAAAACAGAAGCAACAGGACAGTTTGGATTCCTCATGATGGTTATGGGATCTGTAACTTCAAAAGCATTCGTTACAAGCATTCGCTGCTCAGTCCAGGACTTTGCTAATCGTCTAAATATGGAGTTTATGGAGAACAGATGACTTGTGTGTGAGTGTCTGATACAGTGTTTCCCAATGGGGGGTACGCAGACTCCTGGGGGTACATTGGGGTACTTGAAATGATGGATTCATTCTTATGTCGATAAGAATGAGGTTTGTAGGGGCTATGTGACCTGTTATACATCATTTTAAAGCTATTTTACCTTGAAAAGACAAATTCAAAACACATAGTGCAAGCAGTAATAATACTTAATCATTTTGTAATCAGAGTCAAATAGTGACTTTCATTTAATCAGTCAATCAATTTTTTTTATAGAGCTGTTTACAACACTCGAGGTGACCAAAGTGCTTTACAATGAAATCACATAAAATCCATAAAAACATTCATGAAAAAAAAAAAACAAAACGTTAAAAGCATTTAAAAAAAACACATCTTTATTTATTACAAGGAAGTGGATATATGTTTACTGATACGATGAGGGTCTGATTTGGCCTCGCACCAAAGTACATCTGTGACATGCCATATGGGACTCTGAGGAGCACAGGGACTGGCCTCCTGCTGGGACTCTGAGGAGCACAAGGACTGGAGTCAGGACTATGGGGAGGCAGCATTTCAGATTTCTGCAGCTAAAACCTGGAGCAGTCTTCTTGAGGTTCTGAGACTTTTGCTCTGCTCGCCTTGCACACAAATTATGCCATTCAAATAAATGTTGATTGATTGATTGGTTCACTACATGTTACTTTTACAAGATTCCTTCTGTTCGAACAAACTACATGTGTTATTTATGAGAAAAGTTTGATACCGCAGCTATTATTAAAATCATGGTTAGCTGCAGCTCTCGTTGGACGTTTAGGATTTTACATGAGTTTGCGATGATTACGTTCCAGTACTTTCACTCAGTACCATCACCAACGTCATGGTATTCATTTAGTTAGTTTAGTTTAGTTTAGTATTATCTGTTCTCCTTTTTCTCTATGAAATGGGATGTGTGGCCCTCTTGCATGCAAAAGCCAGATCCCGTCAGACCTTCAAAACTGTGCAAGGCAGGACCTGGTTAGTACTGTGATGGGAGACCTCTGGGAACACCATGTGCCACAGTGGGGCGGCTGTGGCTGAAAAGTGCCAAACTTTGTTTGTGTCCTTAGGCAAGACACTTAACCCACATTGCCTAGAGTGAGTCTGGTTGCCTCGCTTCTGTCAGTGTGCCCCAGGGCAGCTGTGGCTACAGTAGTAGTTTATCACCACCGTGTATGGAGTGAAAGAATGACATGTGAAGCGTCTTTGAGTGTCCAGGAAAGCAATATATAAAACCAATGCATTATTATTATTATTATTAATAGACTTCCTGTTCTGTTGATGGCCGGCCCCGCCCCCTTGTGTCTCACCTGTGTCTCCAGCAAAAGCCTGTGCTCTCTCCCTCTTGTATTTGTTCCTGCTCGTGTGTTTTACATTCAGCTGGGTTTTGTTTTTGGATTCCTGTTTATTCAATTATGTTGTTTTTGCAGTGTTGGAGCTGTGGCTACAGTAGTAGTTTATCACCGCCGTGTAGGGAGTGGATGAACATGTGAAGCGTGTTTGAGTGTCCAAAAAAGCACTATATAATATCAGTGCATTATTATTATTATAATTATCATTATTATTATCATTATTATTATTATTATTATTATTATTATTATAAGGGCGACAGTAGCTCAGTTGGTAGAGCATTGGCCTTAAGGCCAGAAGGTCGTGGGTTCCCCCCTGACCCAGAAATGGATTAAAGGGTAGAAAATGGATGGATGGATGGATATTATTATTATTATTATTATTATTATTGTTATTATTATGAATCCTTTTATTATATTATGACAACCAATAAGACTATCTCCATTAAGACTATGGCAGTATGATTACTATTTATACATTTTTGATGTGAAGCCAGCCCCAGTGACAGTTGTGTGTGTGATGCAAGAGTCACCTGTGAGGATTCTGCTGTGGTTCCAGTTGCGGTTTGCTCGTTTCCTCTTTCCTCTTATCGAGCGCTGCACTCGGCCTTTATGATCCATGTTTACACTCCATTGTTCACGATGTCGTAACTCATCCGTTTTTTTCAACCAAATCCAGAGGAAACCAGACATTAAGAAGATAATAAATAGCTTCAAACCACAGGCAGCGAGGATTCCAACGTTCTGTTGATCAATGCTGTTTGAACCTCATGTTAAACTACAGGTACCTTATCACTACACCTGATGCGTTACCAAGGCAACAGACTGAGCACAAACAGTTAACGGACATTGTCATTAGAAATATAATATATAAGGTTATATTGCACACCCTCAGTCCTGGATCTACACGCTCCGTCCATCTTGACGTTGTCACAGCACCAGAACAAATCCTGGGTGAACATTTCATGAAACAACGCGTTTCTAAAGTCATTGTAAAAAGAACAATAAAACCAAAATGCACTTCACTTTCCACTTCATTGAGTTCACAAAATACACACAGTCTCTTCTCCTCAGGTGTCTGTGAAAACATCCCCGTGTCAAGACACAGAGCTTGTGTCTCACAACAAGAAGGTCCTGGGTTTGATTCCACCTCCAGGCCTTTCTGTTTGGAGTTTGCATGTTCTTCCCGTGTCTGTATTGGTTTCTTTTGGGTGGTCTGGTTTCTCCTCCCACTGTACATGTGCAATAGGTCTGAATGTAACGAGTGAGTGAATGGATGATGTTGATTGGGCCTTGATGCGCCAGTGT